AGAGAGAGAGAGAGAGAGAGAGAGAGAGAGAGAGAGAGAGAGAGAGAGAGAGAGACCAGGAGTGGCAGAGGGACAGGGCGGAGAGGGGAAAGGGGAGATGGGCTCCGAGTTGAGCGTGAGCATAAGACAGAGAGAGAGAGGAGAGAGAGAGAGAGAGCACAGTTTGAATCCAACTACCACCGACCCACCAAACCCTTCAACCTCTGAGCTTTTGAAGACAGAAAATCCTTCTCCATTGCACACAAAGCCGCAACAGGTAAGCTAGTAATTCATAATTATTTTATTCTGCTCATTTGATTACACATGTGGACTCGAACTTCGGTCTGTATTCCAACGGTTCATGGGTGTACCAACTGAGCTAGGCTCGTTGGTAGTTCGGCCTGTGATTGTGGTCGCAAGGATCCCAAAAAAAAAAATACTGACTTCAGCCCAGGACTGTGCTCAGCCTGAGCAGTCAGAATCCGACCTTACCTTCAGATTCAGTGACGAGTCGCCCAGGGGGAACAGTGACTAGAGAGTGATAAAGGGGCATATCTCAGCAGCTCATGTTTTCTCTTTTATTTTTATCTTGAACTTAATAGTAGTTAATACGGAATTTTGAGGGGATCCTTGGCCGAAAGTTGTTTCCATTGCACTTCTACATCATGAAACACACTCATGCTTCCTTCCGTCCGGCCGAAGGAACCCTGACCAGCATTGATTACGCCAGCATTGTGGAGGATTGACTGTCAGCTTGCCTTACTTCCACCTTTCCTCTCAGGTCCACTGCATGAACCTGTCAGATAAATGATAAAGAGCAAGAAAGGTAAAAGAAGCTACAGAAGATGCAGTCTCGGAATGTGCCCTTCAATATTATGTGGCCTGTGATGGATCTTGTCTTCTGCTGGCTGGGATCTCTGCCTTCTCCAGCCTGCTTCTGAGTTGTGCCAGTCTTTCCACTGTATACGAAAGTCATTTCTCTCTGCTACGTTGTCCCCTGCAAGCCACACCTTAGTGAATTTCGCCTTGATTCTTCTCTGTTGCTCTTCGTCATCTGGCATGGATTGTCTCGTCTTATGCCACTTACAAAGAATCTCTACCTTCTCCCTTGGAGTTGAGAGTCCCTCGATGGTTGGACCACAACGTTACCTTCCATCGCCTCTCTACACCATATCAGGCAATGTATCATATCTTCTGATTCATTTTCTGAACACACCACACATAAATCTGAACTGTTAGGGTCATTCTTACTTCTTCTGATATGCAGCCACTGGTTAACCGGTAGAGCCACATATGAGATGAGCCATTGGAGGCTTCTGATTTTGACCGGACGGATTGACTTGAATTTTTTCCATGGTATTTGTGGGATCTGACTAGCGTCCTGACCTATTAACTTCTGCCATCTGTTCTTGATCGCTGGGTCAGGATCCTTTGTTCTGAGGAGTAAGTTGTATCCCAGTTTGACTGTGTATTCCTGGATGGGGACATTCATTTTGAGACTTCTGCTTCCGTCTGGTGTCCAAGCCCACTCTGCTGGATCAAATTCCAAGTCTTGAGTCGCCGTATCTATTCTGAAGATTGTTTTTGGCCATGATCCCAATACACTTACTTTTCTGAGTTCAAAAGGGTTTAGGACTGTTCTTTCCACCTCCTTATTCAGGATAGATGGGAGGCCTTGCGTGGAGGGGGTAACTGGGAAAGAGGTAAACACCGCCAGGGTATCCGGCCCTTGCTGTTTATGGGAGAATTGATAGGCCCTTGAGGGGGTTAAATCCTGCACCCTCACTCCCCATTCACCCGATTTCCAGGTTGAGGCTTTGCCCAACAACTCCTTCCAGCCTTCTGGGATGCAGTTGATATGGATTGTAGATTCTCGTCTCGTCGGTGACATCCTTTGAGCTGGGAGGCAAGCTCCTGTTCTGTCACCGAGTCCATTTACTTTTTGACTTTTTTAAGATTATGAGCTTGGACTGTCTGGGATCCTGCACGGCCGGGTGTGCCCGGGCGGCTACCTCGGCGAGTCGGCGACCTTCCCCCAGCCGAACCGCCTGGGGACCCTGCCTGACCAGGCCCACCCGGGTGGGTACCCGGGCAACCTTCCACCCGACGGGCTGCCCAGGGACGAGTCCTGCTCTCCACTCTTAAAATCTATATTGCAAGTTCCCAGAATATCGCTAACCAAAAAAAGTCCTGGCAGTAACAGGCCTTCAATATCTGACCATATGCTTGTCCTTTAGAACCAGATTGCCTATATGGCTCTGCGCTTCAGTGTACAGGTTGAACTCGTCGATTTAGAGGCTCTGCTTTGGGTCTGCCTCACTGCAAGGGTTGAATGCCATTCACAGCCCAGTGGAGGTGAGGGAGCTATTTCCAGCTCCTACGACTTAGAAAAAGTGCAATCGGGGGCAGGGGGATTTGTGAGCATCACAATGGTACAGACATACGAAAGAAATGGAAACACTCAGAGGACAAAAGAATGGTGACAAGCCCATGTAGCTCAATGGTATACAGATATCATAAGTTTTGAGTCCTCACTCCAAAAAAAAAAAAAAAAAAAAGAATGGTAACAGTCAATCCATCTGTGAGAAAAAGCAGTCAATGCTGCGAACAGAACTCTCAATCTGTTGTGTCTGGAATGGCTTGCCAGTGGAAAAGGACCAGACTGATGTTCTAAGGAATAGAATGGAGGCCTGGTCATAAGGTATTGTTTAAAACTGAGAATAATAATAAGGAGGGGGAGGAGGAGGAGGAGGAGGAAAAGGAGAAGGAGAAGAAGGAGAAGGAGAAGAAGGAGAAGAAGGAGAAGAAGGAGAAGAAGGAGAAGGAGAAGAAGGAGAAGGAGAAAAAGAAGAAGAGGACGGGGAGGAGAAGGAGAAGGAGAAGGAGAAGGAGAAGGAGAAGGAGAAGGAGAAGAAGAGGAAGAAGAAGAGGGAGAAGGAGAGGGAGAGGGAGAGGGAGGAGGAGGAGGAGGAGGAGGAGAAGGAGAGCAGGAGGAGGAGGAGAAGAAGAAGAGGGAGAAGGAAGGAGGAGGAGGATAAGGAGAGGGAGAGTGTTACATCTTCGAGTCACACGGGTCCTACCGGACCCGACTTAGGGCCGGAGGGACACACCAGGGCCTAAAGGCCCGACCTTTGAGGGTCACAGGCCCTAAAGGCCTGATTTTGCACTTTGAGGGTCACAGGCCCTAAAGGCCTGATTTTGCACTCAGCCCAGCGGGTAGGCCCAAACGACACTTTGTTTGGGCCTGGCGGCGCTCT